CCTGGGCTGGGACTGGTCCCGCCGGCGCAGGGTAGCAGGAAGCTCTCCACACACTCACCGGACCTGGGCTAGGACCGGGTCTCTCAGCTGAATAAACTTTAATAAGTTATGTTAAATTTTGACAGTTGTTTAAATATTAGGAATAGGAATATTCACATTTTTTCTAAATCCTGAGAACTTTGTTCAAATTAGTTGAGTCCCATCTGTGGATTCTGTTTTCTGGTTTGACATGTTGCAGTAATGGTGAACTATATTTTTGAAATTATGGATATCTTGAAATTTTTAACACATCAACCCAGTGTTTTATTTTCCTTCTACTTAATTACAAATAAAACTTTTCCTATGTAGAAATCTTAATTGAATGGACTTACTAGTTCTTACCAAGAGAAAAAGGTCAAATTAATGTTCATGGGAATATCTTAAAACTTATTAGTAGCTTGTTTTATGTGTTATGCCACATAGCAATTTGAAAACTTGAAACCAAAAAATTCTGAAAGGTTTGGATTTTTTTCATTTCATCTGTACAAAATAGCTACTATGATATTGTTAAGCCAAAGCATTATTCCTGCTTACAGAACAATTTTTTCTTTAATGGTCTGTTGTCATTACATGATGGCTTCCAACTGTCGGTGATACCATTCCAGAAAGGTTTAGTGTTACATACTTCTTAGAGTGAGTTCTACATTTCTAATTAAGGTGGGTATCTGGAGGACCTAAATACACTGGAGTTCAGTTGGTCTTGCTAGTTGTGAGCCTGCGTAGTGTGCGTCAGATCTTCTTTGGTATGAGCAGACAATGACATTAAATTGGACTTCTCCTGCCTTCTCTCCTAGAGTGTCTTCCATATTCATGCTGCACTTCGTAGAAGGCTTACCACGGAATGACTTGCAGCACTATGCATTTCATTTTGAAGGCTTTCTTTATCAAGTAACATCCGTAATTCAGTACCAAGCAAATGATCATTTCATAGCATGGATTTTACATGCTGATGGTAAGTAAGTGTTTAGAACAGTTTTTTTAATAATATGGAAACCAAGCATTAGTGGATTTTTTAAAGATAAACTTTGCCTTGAGTTATTTTTTTCTCTTCTTACCTTTGCCTTTAATTCTGTTCCTCTCCCATATTAAAAGTATAACAGGATTTGTATGCTTCCTGACTCTTCCATTGTGTATCTATAGGTATGTGCATATGTGTATTTTTTTAGACAAAAGATGCAATCATATGTTATTGTTTTGCAGTTTGTTCTTTTCCACTTAATATCTTTGCCTATATAAAATTACATGTATACCTGTAATCCCAGAACTCAGGAGGCTGAGCTAAGAGGGTGTCTGTGAGTTCAGGGCGAACCTAAACTACAGAGTGTAGCAGTTTGTGTCTGGTTGTCCCCCAAAGCCTCAGGCAGTCATGAGTTTGGGCTTCTAGAATTTGTGATTGATTTATGGTCCAGTGCTAGGATTATGGGTGTGAACGCTACACCCACGCTAGGGTAGATACACGTTGTACGATCTGCTTCCATGAACTGCTGCCCTGTGCCACTCTGTCTTGGAGCCAGCCGAGTGTGTACTGAAACTTCCACAAACTGTAAGCTAAATAAATCTTTCTCCTTTAACCTTGAGTATTGGGTATTTTGTCTCAGCAATGAGAGAAAAGTAACTGAGACAGCAAGACACTGTCTCAAAAATCAAAAACAAGGGACTGGGGAGATGACTCAGTGGAATAAGCGCTTCCCTGGCAAGCGCAAGGGCCTGAGTTCAATACCCGGTTCCACCAAAATAAATAAATAAAGTGAAATTACATGTGCAATAGTGTATGTTCAGTATAGAAAACTGAGTGGTGAAAATTCTAAATTCTTAGAAAGCTTATTTTATTTTAAAGGAAAATGCATCAAACTGAAGTCTTTTGAGAACAAAAAATAAATTTTGCTTAGTTGCCTATTGTAAATATATTTTAATAATTTCATGTTTTATTTGTTTTGATTTGAGAAATTTGAGACAAGGTGTCAGTAAGTTGTTTAAGCTGGCCTTGCACTCACGGTGCTCATCCTGACTCAGCCTCCCACGTGCTGGGATTGCAGGCATGATCTACCATGTCCATCAAATTCTATGTTTAAGACTTACTAAACATTTGGTAGGTTTTCTGTCACTGAGTGGACTCTGAAATCATAGTTTGCTAACAGATTTGGTCAGAGTTACACCTTTACTTAAACCTCTCAGTGGAAGGCTGGTAAGTACAATCCCCTGGTTCTGGGGACTTGTTTCCCTTGCATTTGTTTCATGTGGTTTAATTGTGGCTTTATTTCCACTTAGTGTTCTTTTGTGATAGGCTAATTCTTCTTCTTAGAGCAGTGATGGCAAACCTTTTACAGACCAAGAGCCAGATCCAGAACCCACTTATCACCAACTGCCAACACTGCAACTAGTCCTGAATATTGAGGTTTTAGTTGAGAATAAAACAACTAATATGTTAACATCTTTTGTCTTAAAAAGACAGTGACATGTATGTCATAGGTATGCCACTACTGTCTTAAGAGTGTAGTATCAGGCCCTTAGTGAGGGGTGTTTTGTTATAACCATTATCTGTTGTTTGAGTACTTTTCATGTTTGATATTTTCTTCCTGAGGTGGTTTGGATGGATGATGTAGTACTGTACTATAAAAGACACTTTCAAACTGAAACACATTATAATGTAATTATTACTTTGAAGTTTTATCCTACACCAGAATTTGGGAAGAGATAAATTCCCAATAACATGTCAAAACAAAACCCAACCTACTTCAATTTTTATTGCACTCCAGGGAGTATAAAATTCACTGTAAGCACAACATAATTTCCAACCCTGACAGCATGTGAGAATCATTTTCTCGACTTACAAAATTGTTGGCTCTACTACAGATCAGTCTTAGGGACTGGACCTAAATACCTGTATTGTTTGTTCCTTGTTTTTTGCCTTTTTTTTTTTTTTTTTTTTTTGAGAAAGGATCTTATTGTATAATCCAGTCTGGTCTCAAACCTGTGTCTCCAACCAACCCTGAGTTTTGGGATTATAGGTGTGTACCAGCATGCCTGCTAGTATTGTTTTAAAAGTTCTCCAGATGATTTTGGTGTGTTTGTGGTAGAAAATAATTGACATAGGGAAACTAAAAAGTCCAAAGTTTTAGTGGATATAAAATTAAAATAAAATAGTAGATTCAGGGCTGGGAGTATATATCGATAGCTCAGTGGCACAGCGCCTGCTTGGCAAGCTTAAGGTTGTGAGTTATGGATTTCTGGTACCAAAAAAATCAATTCAGGAAGTATGTACCTACATAAAACCTTTGATTGACTTTGTTTATATCTAGCGACAGGTTGCACCACTGAGCTGTCAGACTTAACAGAATCCGTATTGCTGTGTGTCTATGTACTCACAAAGTACAGGTGTTTCTATCAGGTATTGTTTAGTAAACATCTTACTCTTGCTTTTAATTTTGCTCTTTAGGAGAATATTTTTTAATATGTTGGATCCTAGACTTGTTTATTCTCACCCATTAACTTAGAAATTGACTAGTCTATTGGCAACTAAATTGGCCTGAAGGAGCAGCTGAGGGAAGGTTTCTTTCTCCTTTCTTAACTTTCCAATTCAAGATTAATCCCTGTAGGATACCTTCAGAACAGTGAGAGAGAAGATAATGGGGTTCTCAGCACTGAAAAGTGAACTGGGTAGATATACCACATCAGTGTAAGCGATGAGTTCTCTGTTTTTCCCAAATTCTGGTGTAGGGAATGTTTCAGTTTGAAAGTGTCTTCTTTTAGAAATCTGTTGTAAAAAGGGTAGATGTCTATGTACAAAAAAAAAAGGAAAAGGAAAAAAAAAAAAAGAAAAAGGGAAAGGGACCTGGAGTACATTTTGTGTGCTTACATGTCTGTGAACACTTCTGGCATTATTAAAGAATACTGTATTAATTGTTTCTTCTCTACTGAAGTAGTGTTTCCTAAAGTACTGTACCCCTTGAAAGAAGAGTGGTTTGGGTGCTCACTACTGTAATTCATGGAGTAGAAGATGTTTTATAGTGCATATGATGCTTGGCATGCTTTATTAGTTTGCCACATTTAATTTCATAGACATAGTTTCCTCTTTGCTATGCTGCAGTTCTCATGCCATCTTTTTGTATCTGCTTTTGTTTCATAAATATATAGATACTGACATACACAGTGCGAATCATAAAAGCACAGATGACTGTTGATTATTGGAAAGCTGTTATTCATCCAGACCTGTGGCTTTTCTCAGATTGTGACATGGTAGAGAAATATAAGCACAGCTATCATCCCTTTAATCCCATCAACTATCAACTAGCCATCTTCCTTTGTGTGTTTTTTATTGTGGTAATGTTTACGTAACATTACCATGAACTTTAATATTAAGTTTATAATTTATTGGCATTAAATACAAAAGTTTTTTTTTTTTTTAAATGTATTTGGTACAAGCTCTCACTACGAAGCTCAGACTGGTAGTGATACACCTGTCTTCAGCCTCCCAGTGCTGGGATTACAGGTGTATGCCACCACACCCGGACTTGTCTTGGCTCAGTGCACCCAGGGGGGCAAGGTCGACACTGCCTGTGATGCTGGGGATAGCTCCCCTGTCCCTGCGTTCACTTAAGCAGGCACTTAGTCTGCTAAGCTGTCTCACTGGTTAAAATGCAAAGTCTTGTATAGCCATCAATTTTTAGAACTTTTTCATTATCCCAAACTGAAACTACTCATTAAGCACTAACTCTATCCTTTCCCTGTCGCTAGCTCTGGTAACCACTCTACTTTGTGTCTCTGAATTTGATGACCCTGACATACCTCTTTTAAGTGGAATCATACAGAACTGGTCAGCTTGTGTCCCATTTTATTAGAATATTTTCTTAGTTAATCCATGTTATAGCACATTAAAAATTCCCTTCTCTTTAAAGCTGAATGATAATCAGTTATATATATATTATCTGTTCATCTCTGATGGACATTTGGGTTTTTACATTTTAGCTATTGTGAAGAGTACGGCTATAGTTAACAGAGACCTATCTGGGTGCTGTTTTCAGTTCTTTTCTAATAGGTGTCTTTACCCCCTTTGGAGTAGTTTAAGCAGGTAACTTCCTCATTCATGCTTCAGTCTGCTACAGAATGATTCTTCTTACCACAATGCTCATGTTTGCAGGCAAGAATAATTACCCCTGGCCAGACTGCTAAAAATAATGGCTTCTTCACAGATTTTTTTCTCAGTACTGAAGTGTTTTGATGCCAGACACAATATTCCTAGTCCTTATACTCTTCCCTTGTCATCTCATTCCTGCATGATAAGTGAGAGGACATCGAAATGTTTTATTGCACTTGGGATAACAAACTTTATTTTATCTCGAAAATTCAGATGAAGTAACTTAATCTATTTTCTGATATTGTTGGACAAATTCAGTAGTAGTGTATTCTTAAGACCCAAAAGTTAAATATAATTTGTCTTGATTTTTGTGGGTATGTTGGAAAAGAGTGTAAATTGTCTAGAGAACTATTCTCGTTTTTCAGGTTTCTTTATTTTAGTCTATGTTTTGTTACCCTGAGGGCTTTTAACATCTGGCGGAGAAGTATGGTGGCAAGAATAAGATCATTTATTAGGGTGTTCTTTGATGGATCTTCAGTAATGTGGCAGTTAGAAAGGCCAGAAGGGGAGCTAGGATTGTGGTTGGTGAATGTCTAATGTCTGGCTTTCCTTTCTATCCCCCAGGCAGTTGGATGGAATATGATGACCTAAAGGGTTTATGTGCTCTAAGGCACAAAAAGTTTGAAGTTTCTGCTTCAGAGATACATATTGTTATTTGGGAAAGAAAAACATCTCAGTCAACAGATGAAGAAGCTGCTTGCCCTGCACTTAAGAAGGCTAATGATCAGAGTGCTTCAGGGGAAGAGAGAGCAGCATCTCCAGCACTGCCTTCTGTGGGCCAGGCTGCCTCCACAGGAACGTCCTCGGTCACTGTGCCCACGTCTGTGTCACTCGTTCCTCATGCTCTTCCACAGGACAGAGCTGTGGCACATGAAGATTATGTACTTGGAGATTCAAAAGTTTTGGGTGACAGCAATATTTTACCTGTGACACTTGAAGGATCTATCTGGAAAACTGCCTCAGTTTTTCAGGTTACCACTGAAACATTCCTACCAGAAAATAGGCCTGTGGTAAAAAATATAGGGCTTATCAAAACAAACACTTTGCAATTGCAAGAATCACCAGTGGAGTCTTCAGTGTTGGCTCCATGTGGAAAAAAGCTTAGCCAAGCCCAGTCTGTGGATTCAAGTTTCCCATTGCAATTTGTAAATACAAACACGCAGTTGACCCTGCTGAATACAGAAGATGCAGTTCCTCAACCTGTGAATAATGCTCATGGTCTTGTACAGGGAGTAAAGTCAGTGCAAATTGAAAAGCACACTCAGTTAAAGCAATCCTTTTTGTGGGAAAATGAGAAATTAAAACCAGAATCACCTTCTGTATCTCAGGTATCTAATTTGAAGAAAAAAGCCACAGCAGATCCACAGACTGTGACAGCCAAATCCTCACAGAATCAGTCCCCAAAAGAAAATCAGAAGAAACCCTTTGTGGGAAGTTGGGTTAAAGGCCTGCTAAGCAGGGGTGCTTCTTTTATGCCATCATGTGTTTCAGTTCATAATAAAATCACAATAAGTGATTTGCAGCCGTCAGTTAAAGGAGCAAGTAATTTTGGTGGTTTTAAAACTAAAGGTGTGAAGCAGAAGGCCAGCCACACATCGAAGAAAGCCCGTAGATCTGCAGATAAGCTTCCTGTCGGCAACCCTCCACCAGGTCTTCCACGGTCAGAGAACAAAGCTGCTCCTCCACATGGAAGCGAAAGTGCTGCTTCAGAGCTTCCAAGGGAGCAAGACTGCGCCTCCCACAAAGCTGACCTCAGTCACTCTTCTCACGGAAGGGAAAATGGACTTTCTTCAGCAAACCACACAGATTCAGCTGTAGATCAGATTCATAAGCTTCGTCTAAAACTTCTTAAAAAGCTAAAGGCTAAAAAGAAGAAGTTAGCTGCCCTCAAAGCTTCCCCTCAAAGCAGAACGCTTCCCAGTGAGAATTTAGAAAATGGGCTGCACTGTGAGTCTCCAAATGATTGTGAATCAATAGAAGACTTGTTAAATGAATTGCAGTATCAAATTGATATTGCAGATGATGAATCTGGGTGTACCACTGCTTCTAGTGTTGCCTCATATAATCAAATGCATGAAGAAATTTTAGCAGAGTTACTGTCTCCAAGTATTTCAACAGAACTCTCAGAAACCGGGGAGGCTGACTTTATGTATTTGGAAATGGGAGACAACCACATCCCCACTCCAGAACCTACTGAATTAACTAATAATCCCCAGGACATAAATCTGAAAGAGGAGCATAATTATTGCAGCCCCACCAAGAGGAATCAGTGTGAAGTTCATGCAGTCTCCCAAATAGCAATACCTGCATTAAACTTGGAGAGCCCCGTGAAAGCTGCTATCTTTGATGAGTTTTTTCCTACTACATTAACTTCTTCTGCAAATGACACCTTGGATTTAGCTCATTTTGATGAATGTATGTTTGAGAGTTATTGAGTATTTGTTAACTCTAATATTTATTATTGTTAGAAAAACTTAACTGCATTTTTTGATAGTGTTTCTACACTGTTGTAATAACCGTGAAGGAAATTTAAGCTGCTGAAAGTTTTACCTTTGGTCTTGCCCGTGATGTAACCTGTTATACAAATTAAAATAATTATTTTCTCATTGATTTCATTGTGTGGTAAAGAACTTGTAGGGGAATGAGGATTTCAAATGCTAAGGATGAAAAATACATCTAATTTATAATTTGTACATTAGGGTACATTAAACTTCTGGATTTTTAAGTTGTAATTATGTTGCTCAAGAGAAATTATAGTTTGTACCAGCAAGTTTTGGTATAAAGTGTATGAGCGTGTGACAGTCTCACTACATGTTTTGTGGTCTTACAGGAGAGCCTTAGGCTTTGTCTTTCCCCAGTATGGTGTTGTGGCATGTAAGCTGCCTCAGTGCCACTTGTCTCCTTTTCTCTCATTATGAAAGATGGCAAGAAACTATCACTAGAACTCTTGAGTAATAACAAGTGATCAATAAATGGTTTGTAAAAAGAAAAAGTAATCTCTTTGCGAAGTTTGCGAAGTATTTTTGTGTTGTCACAGATACTATCTTTCTGCTGGACATCTTTTTAATGCAGATGAGACACCAGCTCACAGCTCTGTGGGACAGATTTGCCAGTGCTCACAAACTTGCTACATGTTGAGTTCCATTGCATAGGAAATGTTAGTTCATTTAGAACTCCCATGTTCCTATGTGCGAGATGCGTCTGTCATATTTCACAGCTTAACAGTACATAGCTGGTAAGCTGCAGGGTGGAGTTTGAGTAGAAATGGTTACTACTGCAGGTAGAAGTGTGGAGCTTGTTGCTCAAGTTCTGCCTCAAGTTTCAGCTAAAATCAGATTCCCAATGGCATCATCACTGTGGTGATTGAGTTAAACTCTGGATAATAGAGTCACTGGTGAAATACTTCTCAGAGACTCAGTACTTCATAACTTATATGCCAGATTTATCCCCAGATCTGTACCCTCTTTGATTATATGAATATATTCATACATTTTATTATATATTCATATAATACAGTCAATTCATATGAGTTCTGAATCATCTTAATAACTTAGGGATAGCTACTGCAAACAGCTTTGTTTGGATGCACAGACTTTTATGCATATGTGTATGATCTGTTTTTCCTTAGTATTTTCCCATATCTTGTAGTTCTGGGTACCCCTTGATAACACAGTAAATGTATAACTTGTTTTGCTAAGGCTTAGATTCTGAGATTATATATATGCTGCACCAGTTATCTTTTGTAAACTTTTGAACAAATCCACGTTTTATTTTTTGAATTGGAATCACTAGACCAGTGAATATGTACACATTTGAAGTCTTGTTTGTTTGAGATGAGAGTCTTGGTAAATCACCTGGCAGACCTTGAACTTGATGTTTTTCACCTCAATTTCCAAAGTAGGTGGGGATACAGGCATGCTCTACCGCACCCAGCCTACAGTTAAAAAAAATCTTTGATGATGGTTTTATTGTCTATTCTGAACCCTCACCAGCACTAGGTAATGCCAGTAGAGGGACAAAGAGAAAACTGGCATTGACTTGTTCACATTTCCGTGATTACTGTTGGCTAGTTGAATTTCTTTTAAGAATTGCTTGTTCATCCTTTGGGTAGTTACTATTGAACAAGTACTTTTACTTACTGTTAAGGGTTCAGCATTGTTATAAACCTGAGAGAAGACCATGAAATAAGTTTTCATCCTTTAAGGAGTTTATTTTTTATAAGCAAAGGAGATAATAGGTGGTAGAAGTACTGTTCTTGGCATTTTGGGGTAGTGAGCAAAGTCATGAAACACTAAACTAGGAAGTACTGAGCCATTGTTGCTAGGGGAAATACAGGGTTAGGGTCCTGTGATCACATTTTTGTAGACCAGTTACCATGGTCTTGTGTGTGTGTTTCTGTTCAGAGATAACTTATGTAATCATAGCATTAATTTAGTAATGTTGAACTCAAGACCAATAGCATTGTAACTCGGGCCTGAATAAAGATTATGTGATGGACTTTTTAAGGCATATTGTGACTACCTTGTGTTTGGAAAGACTAAATGGCTTCAGCTCTATGTTTAGGCCCATTTTAAACAGTGGAATCACCAAGACTTCAGAAAAGACAGCATTAAATAGAACCCAAGAACACCCATTGGATTATAGTATGAAAGTTAAAATAAGGCAGTTGCACCTCAGCTGGGAATGTGCACTCAGCAACTTTTCATTTTGAGAATGTCCACAAACAGCCATGAAAAACCTTATTTAGGGTTACAAATAAGTTTTTGGCAAGCAGGTGAATTTACCAATGTGGAACACTGGTAGTTGTTAATTTGCAAATAATGACTGATGGTTAGCATTAACTACTATGGAAAAGAAAATGGGTGAGTAAGGGACCTATTTTGGACTGGATAAAGACTTAGAATGTCTCGGAGGTGGGTGACATTTGGAAAAGTTAAGGAAGTAATGTGACAGTGCAAGTCATGAGGGACAGACAAGTGTATGTGGCATCTTTGGATTAAAATAACCTTTGGGGGATTTACACATAACAAATTTCCTTCGCAGTCCTGGCGGCTGGGAAGTGCAAGATGAAGGCACCAGCAGTTTTCTTACAATAGCCCAAAAGCCATTTGAGATCTGATACCTATTAACCACTTTAACTCTTCCCTCTCATTTGTACTGTTCAACACCACTGGCCTCTTTGCCGTCCTCAGTCATCCCACTATGATCTCAATATCCCCCTCCCCCCACATTCATGCTGAAATACAAATCCCTGGTATGATGCTGAGGGTTAGAACTAGTGTGCCGTGGGTGTATGAAGGTAGGGCTGGTGAGATGGGGCTGTTGAGCCACTTCTGAACATTTTCTGGTGCCTATTAGGGTTGTGTTAGATGGTTTTTTGTCACTGTCTTTAAGGTGGGAGATGTATGCACCTGTGTGTATGAACATTACCTGGAGAAAAACATGGAGGTGAGAATCAGCAGTTGTAGGAGCAGATTTCTCTCGGGTTAGGATCCAGTGTGGAAGAGGAGGAAGCGTGACCCAAAGGATCAGGAGAATCTTTCACTAATATAAGGGAAGACAGCGCACAGTTACAGAGATTAGGAGGCTGTTGAGAAAAGAATGAACAAGATGCTTCCTGATAATTTCTCAGAGAAACATCCATTGTGTGGAGAAGGAGTTGAAGTTTGTTGAACTAATAGGAGAGCTGATCCCAATAGGGCCATATGGAGAACTCACTGGATATTTAGGGTCTTAAATTTAACCACACTAAGATAATGGGGTTTTGTTGTTTTAGTTTTCTCTTGTGTAGCTGTCCAGGTGCAGGTTGAAGAGTAGAATTTGGGAAGCTGGATTTATCCATAATAGATGGAGGAATAAAAAAAACAAAATTAAGATTTTACCCATGGGCAGTGCTGTCATTTGGGTCTAGAATACCCCCAAAGGCCTGTGTACTAAATTCTCAGTCTCCAGCTTTGCCCTGCTTGGACATCAGTGGAGCCCACTGCTGCCCAGCGGAAAGTCTAGGCCTTCAGTTCCCACAGTGGAACTCCAGCCCTTTCCTCTTTCTTTTGCTCCTTGGCCTTGAGTGTTCCAGCTTCACACACTGCTTTACCACAGGCCCAGGGATCCCAGGAGGAAACTTAAAAGTCTGAGCCAAAGTAAAGTTTTTCTTTTTATAAGTTGATTATCATTTGTTAGCAATAAGTCACACAGGTCATGATCATTGCAGTGGGTCAGAAGAGAGCAATAAAAGGGGAGGGGACGGCTGGAGAAGAGCTCCACGCATTCCTGCGGCTGGAGGAGTAAGGAAGCTGGTTAGGGTGGTGGCAGTGAAGCTTTTGAAGCTAGAACTTGGTAATGAAAAGGTTTGAAGTATAACAAGGAAAGTTCGTGAAAAGCATAGATGAAGTAATGAACGGGCCAGGATGGGGTATGGATGGTCTATGGATGGTCTTTGAGGGAAGTCAAAGTTGTCTAACAGGTTGTAGGGGTTGTGGTAAAAAGAAATACACAGGGCCAGGGAGATGGCTCAGGATAAGCGCTTCACTGGCAAATGCAGGGATCTGAGTTCAATCCCTGGTTCCGCCAAAAAAAAAAAAAAAAAAAATACACAAGGATTCAGGAGCCAACATACTGAAAGGAAGTCAGTGTAGCTGGCTATCTGGGGGTTCCCCATCTGCAGATTTAAATTCAGTATTTGAGGGGTCAGGGAAATAGCTCGGTAGAATAAGCGCCTGTCTGGCAAGCGCAGGGTCCTGAGTTCAATCCCCGGCCTATTTCCTCCTCATTATTTGCTGTATGATAGCTATTACATAGCACTTACATGGAATTAGATCCTATGCATAATCCAGAGATGATTTTAAATATATGGGAGCATGTGTATAGGTTCTCTGCAAATGCTATGCCATTTTATAGAAGGGTCTTGATCTGAGGAGGATCCTGGAACCAATCCCCCAAGGATACCGAGCTGACAGCAAAAAGAACAGGAGCGGGTGATAGAGGCAAAGGGATTACTTCAAAGTTTACTAAGGGTTTTAAGGGGCATGGAGAGCAGTTGAAATAGCAACAGGGAAGAAGCTGGCCTACCTCTAGATTCAACAGTGTCATGGAAGGCAGAACAGCCCCAACAGGCAGGGCCACACAAATTGCTGTTTCCTCAGCAAAGAAATTCCTTTGGTGCAAGTGCAGGGAGAGACTGTTGGCCGTGTTGAGGGTGTGTGGGGTCCTGGTTTAAGAGATTAGGCAATCGGGAGAGATTTGATCTGGACCTTTAACACCCCAGGAGGTCTGGAATTCGTAAGATGACAGAGCTCCTTCAGAGTGTAGATCATGATGGGATGAGGACGGGAAGTTCTGTGTTGCCTTCATCTTCCCTGGCCTCTGTGGCAGGATTGGCATCTGGAAAAGAAGAGGCTGGGAGCACCATCTGAGCAAGAGGCAGGGCTGGAGGCTTCTGCAGTCCTTAGCTGGGTGGGGTTCTTCATAAGGAGTAAGAAAGGACCCCACCTGCCTGAGCCAGCATGGTAAGAAGGCCCCTCTGCTTTAACCTTGTAAGAACAACTTTATTTATTTACTTTTGGTGGAATCATGGATTGAACTCAGGCCCTTGTGCTTGCCAGGCAAATGCT